TACAGCTCTAGTTAAGTAGAGAAGCAACGCTGTCTCTCGCCACAGTTGCACAGTGCTCATAGTGTATTCTGTCGCAGCTCTGGTGAGAAACTGATTCCAGGCGTCTTCTTCAGACTAAAGCTCCTGATTATTCCCGTCGATTGGTGTGTCGTTCCGCTGCGTAGCGGGCCTGCAGCTCGATATATATATATATATATATATATATATATATACAGAGAATGAGTATCGTGTCGGAGGAAAAGTTACAGAGCGCGATTAGTTTCTTGGTCGCAGCTCTCAAAGAAGACATTGCGTCTCGATACTTGAGACTCGAACTCTTGATCATTGACTGTCGAATGGTGTGCATTTTTGCCTCTGAGAGCGGCCTGAAGTTCGAGCTATCACCGCCAGAAGAATCCCAGCGTGCAAATATTATTCGGCTGCAGATCGCGTAGTAGGTATCTCGATGCTTGCGATTATAATTGTTAATTCTTGGATGTCGAATTGCGTGCCTTTCACTTCTAAGAGTAGCCTGTAGCTCGACATGGTTTCCAAAAACTAATATACATATCTCGCCTCGTTGATTTTTGCATAGAAATATCCACCCGATTGACCTGGGATCAAGATGGCGAGCAGGAATAATATCATAAAGATGGGCAACCAAGAAACCTTAAACTGATGGCTGCATCTTGAGCGCGTGAATTTCATCCGAGGCCTCTTCGCCAAAACTTGGAACCGGCGGTAAATCTTCAACCGTGGTTGCCGCCGGGAACTCGTAGAGCTTCCTTGCCATATATACGAATGGCATACGCGCGCAAACCTCGCGCGCAATTTTTTGTAAACTGACTTCCATCAGAAATTGTTGACGCTTCGCGTATCCCCACCAGCCCATCCAGAAACGATGCTCAGGGGAGTTAAGGTGATCAGGGAAGTCGGGGAGCATGCAGAATAACAAAGGGCGGGGGAAGCTGTCACAGACCCCGAGAGGGGGAGGATGGAAGAGGAGTCGTCGTCGTCGTCGTCGTCGGAGGAGGAGGAGGAGGAGGAGGGGGAAGAGGAGGAGGAGGAGGAGGAGGAGGAGAACGGAGAAGGAGGAAGAATCGGAGGAGGAGGAGGAGGAGGGGAAGGAGCTTCTTGGGGGTCTTTTGAGGGCCTCTTGGAGGGCTTTTTGGGCGCCTTGGGGCATCTTGGGCGCCTCTTGGGACCCTCTTGAGGCGCTCTGGGGAGCCTTCGGGGCGCTTTTGGGGCCATCTTGGAGGGAGTCGATCAAACAAGAGGGGGGGTTTAATTAGCGCCCCCCCTCGGAAGCCCCTAAAATCGCCTCTTGGACCCCTCTTGGAACGCTCTTGGAGTGCTCTTGGGCGCTCTTGGGGCCGTCTTGGGGCTCTTTTGGGGCTCTCTTGGGGCCCTCTTGGGCCATCTTGGAGCCATCTCCAGGCCTCGGATAGCCATCGGAAGCGAAAAGGCGAGAAAGCAAAAATCATTGATTTTCCTTAGGTTTTGGGACGATTTTGGCCTCTTCGGGGCCTCCTTGGGGAGCTGTTTGGCCACTTGGAGTTATCTTGGGGCCGTCTTTGGGCTTCTTGGAACCATCTTAGGAGCCATCGTGAGCGATCTTGCGCTATCTTGAGCCATCTTGGAGCTCATCTTGGGTTCTCTGAGGCGCTCTTGGAGCCGTCTTGGGCCATCTTGGACGCTCTAACTACCCGCGGCCCCCCCCGTCCAGGTCCAGGGGAGGGGGTAGGGGGAGGGGTAAACCCCTCCCCAAGGGGGAAGAGGGAGGGGTGGAAGAGGATCTGTTCTAGACCACCTACGCCCAGAGGGCTGGTGGGACTTACGTCCTGAGATGTACTATTTGTGCATGTTGCTCCTCTGTAGCCTGATCTCGGCTGTCTGCTTCCTCCAGGTCAATGCATTTGATCATCCCTTATCGATTGATTAGTACCTTGGGCAACCGATGTAGCGCAAGGTATATCCAGAAACGCGCACGTTACCAGAACATTACGTCATGTGAAGCACGTTCGTTTGACTAACTCTGCCTCTGTAGCGCTGTCTCGACTCTATGCTGCCCCGTATCAATGCATGTGATCATTCCATGTCGATTGATCCACGCATTACTTTCGGCAACTGCCTGTAGTGCACGCGATCTTCCGAAAACGAACTTTCATCGGAACTTCCGCCATGTGGAACATCATTTTGAAAGTATTTATCCGGGTGCAGTCTGGGCTCGGTTCTGCCTCCAGACCGATGCACTGAATCATTTCATCGATTGCTCCACATATTTCCTGGAGCAGCGGCGCGCAGCTCAAGCGATCTCCCGAGCATTGATTTTCCTCATAATCAAAATTAATGAGTGTAAATATTGTTTCGGTCGCAGCTCTAGTAGCAGGCCGATCTGAGGCTTCCACAGATTGGCGCTCCTGATCGTTTCCTGTTGAATGGTGTGCATCTCAGCTCCGTGGCTCGCCTGCAGCTCGAAATATAGTAGAGAAAACAAGCATCGCGTCCTACAGGCTGCGACGTCTTAGCAAGCATATCCGACGAGAGGTGCGTTATCAGGGCAGGAAGAAGAGAACGCGACAAATCAATGGAATTATTCAGGAGTTCCGCGATTTGGGCGAGATCGCTGGGATCAGAAGTGCAACGCTATTTTGCGATAACATCTTTGCAACCGCAGTCAGGACAGGTGGATCACTACAGAAAGGACATGCAGGATGTTCGCGGGGTTTTTACGAACCATTTTCAATGTATCCGGACGCGGCAGACCAGGATCCCGACTGCAACGACGAGCTGGGCAACTCACGGAGTCCAGTTTTCAGCCCTGAGGAGATGACCACTGAATCGCGTCAGCTGAAGGAACGCAGAACCATGCACCAACGGTACAGCAGCGGAGATGCTGAAGGATGCGTGCGGCCCTCCTCATCACGAGTGGTTGAAGTTGATCAACGACAACGTGGCTGACGGTACGACGACGGCGACGCAATGGGAACGCATTCGCATTACCGTCATCTTCAAATCAGGCGAACCGTCGCTGCCGCAGGACTGCAGTCTAGTTTTTGGATCCCACTCATGTGCAAACTGTTTTCGCGGCTTCTTTGCAACAGACTGCTGGAATCCATGCTGGATTCAATCCAACCGCCTGCTCAGGCGGGATTCCGGCGACATTTTGACACAGACCACCGGCCGTTTTACTTTGGCAACAGTGCTGGAAAAAAGGCGAGGGAATTTCAGTTGCCGCTGTGGATTGCGATCTTGGATTTCGAAAAGGCGTTTGGCGCGGTATTGTTTCAGTCAGTATCGGAAGCCCGTCGCGTGCGCTCATTTCCAACGCCGTACATCAATCTCATGTCGAGTCTAGGTTCCGATGAGAAGGTATGCGTCAAAGCGGACGTGCGTAGCGAGGTATTGCACATCAGTCGCGGCACTAAACATGGGGACCCATCGAGTTTACTTTTTTCTTGCCTCTCCGAATTCCTCTTCGGACAACTCCGCGCGACATAGCCAGATGGGCGTTTTGCGGCAGCGCGCAAGTATGGCGGCCTCGCCGATCTTCGGTTTTCAGATGACGTGCTGTTGCTGGCAACTTCGCCCATGAGGGTCAAGAGCGTGATTTCGGAGGTGGTGGGCGGACTTCGACATGCATCCCGGTGAAGCTAATGATTCATGCAATCTGCGAGAGTTGTGAGCACTAGGCCACCTGAGTGATGCAGCCGTCGACGGAAACGACATCGACGTCCAGCCTTTATCAACTGCACAAGAAATCTGGATCGACAGGTCGTCCTCTGTGGCCCTGCAGCGGTTGAAGTTGATTCGGAGTCAATGCGGCATGGCGGGGATTTCGCCTCTTCAGGCAGGAATTGCCTCGCGGTCTCACTTCCTGACGGACCGTCTGCGGTTGTTCAGCGGCGTTCTCTCAAAAGCTATCGTGTGGCGCTGGGTCCTGGACGATGACGGTGCCATTAGAAATCGCGGGCGTGGTCCACGCAACGACGCATCTTTATAATGATAGTCGGATCGCCACGACGCCGTTCCGCAGGAACTGGCGTGGAATCAGCAGATCTGGATCATTCAAGTGACGGCGGCGACAGCTCGAGCTCCGACGGCAGCAGCGCGGGTTCCATCGCCGCGAGCACACCGCCAAAGCGCCGACCGCGCAATTTCGCAACGACGCGGTCGAACCATATCAGGCTTGGATCTGGCGTGCGACGAGGTAGGTTGAACAGTACTGCCACGACATGGGACATGAAGGCTGGTGCGCGCGACAGCGTCGCCTGCAATGGGGGCTTTTTGCGGCGGTAATACACGACGCTGGTGGGAAATTGAGCAGGCATGCTTTCTTTTGGTGCCCTTCCAACGCCGATGCGCTCGCGACGCGGCTTCCCCATCGCACACGCAAAGAACCGATTGACGACATGGCTAATTTCATTTTCACTTTTCGTGGGGAACAACGGCAGTGCTCTGTAATGGACAGCGAGTTGTAGTCACAACTGGAGGATGCTTACGTGCACCCACCAGCAGACACGTTTTCACCATCGACCGAGAACATGTTTTCTGGGCTCTGGCTCGCCCGCACAGTTGTTTCGAGGTCCAGTCTCTGGACCGACGCGCGCCTCGCTTCGCCTCGCACCTGGGGTGCAGGTGATTTTAAGATGATCAGAATCATCATCGCTACTGCAGAGGTCACGTGCGCACGTTTGTCCTGCATTTTGGAGTGAAGTTTGCTCCTTTGCTGAAGGATGTACGCGCTCTTGTCTTTCCCTGTCCAGTATGCAGCAGCGCCTCGGGGGCACCCTGAGCTTCCGAGCTGCCACGTAGGAGCTTCCTTCTCGGACGCCACGACGGCCGACACGTGTTCAGAGGCCACGGAATTTCTTCTGTTGCCTGGGGCCCAGGTGGGAGGGAGCAGGGGCCCAGGAGCGCTCCAGGAGGGCGACGAGAACACCCCAAGAGGCCTGCAGAATGCACTTCGGGGGGCCAAGCGCACACAACACTCTGCCGAGCACGAGTTGAACATCGCGCCCAGCACGCCGGCTCCCCAGCCAGCGCTCTCGGCGCGCGCCCGCGCGCGCGCGGGCCCATGGCGGGCGTGGTGCGGGAACCCCACGGCGCCGTTGCGGAGGAGCTGGCGCGCCTGCGCGGGGGCAAGGTGGAGGTGCGCGTGAAGGAGCCCCGCCCGGCCTCCCTCCCCGCGGGGCCCCGCCCCCTGGCTGCGCCACCCGTCCGGCCCGGGGCCGATGCGAGTCCCGAGGCCTGGGCGCTGCAGCTTCTTCTCCACACCCTGCGGCTCTGCCGGCGTCGGGGGCCCCAGGACCAATCGTGGATCGGTGCGGCTCGAGCGAGAGTGCTGCAGATGGGGTTTGAGGCTCCAGTCGCGATTTTCCGCGATTTTTTTTTTTTTTTTTTTTTTGTTTGTTTGTATTTTTTTTTTTCTTCCTCGCAGCGTCGGAGCTCAAGAAGGGGGCGGTGGCGTCAGCGGCTCGGGGCCAGGCTTGCGGGGGCGGGCCACCTTTTCCGTGGCTCGCCCTCGACCCTACGTCGGCACGATCGAAGTAGGTAGAGGAAGAATGGTACGAAGGACAACAACATGTCCTGTTCATTTTGAACAGGACTCGCTGTCGGTGTCGCCGCGGATGCTGTCCATCTAAGACAGAAGGCCGCCTGCCCAACAGCGGGCGCTCTCGGTTTTGAGCAACACCTGTTGCTTGGCATCGTATCCATTTTTTGTACCATTTTCGGATGTCCAAATCTTCCCCCTCTGCCCGCTGCTCGCTCGTGGCAGACTGCACATTGTGCGGCGCATGGGCAGGGTGGGTCGACTACGCTAGCCCTCGCGCGCAGCCTCCCTGCGCAGGAACCGCGCTCGAGCGACGCGGTGTGCCGCGTTGGCAGCCTGCTTTAACCATCGCGTAAGCTTTCGTACCGTCATGCTCAAGCCCCGTTGGGACAAAACTCCTCCCGTTGGAATGCCTCCGACACCATTTGGCTTGAGCTGGAGGCCCCTGGCGAGATGTCAGCGTCAGAGATCGTTGCAAAGACCCGCCACATCGACCAGTTATGGCTTCTTCTTCGTTGCTTGCATGAGGGGGGGGCTCGGGCCCACCCGCGCTGACCCACGAGGGCCTGGTTCTGCCAGAGCCGCGCGTTCCATTGTCCGTGCCCCTCCCCCCGGCAACCTCCGATAGCCACCGAGCAATTCCATGAAGCTCCAACTCCGCCCCCGCCCGAAGAGCATCGTCTCCCTGGAGGTCCACGGAGGTCTCCAGATGTTTGGAGGTCCCTGGAAACCCTCGCCGGCCCCAGTGGGGTAAGAGGTGATTCTCGAACCTCCGAAGAACATCGGCTCCGCGCCCATCCTGAAGCAGACGCGCTTCACGGTCGACGGCTCGAAGCGCTTCGAAGAGCTCGCTGGCTTCTTGAGGCGGCAGCTCAAGCTCGAGGCCTGGGCGCGCCAAGGGCAAGAGGATACGTGGGGAGAGGGAGGAGGGGGGATGAGGAGGGGGAGCTGGATGGGGGAAGAGGTAAGATAACGATGATGACGATTCTGTTGTTGATGATGATGATGATGCTGATGATGCTGATGCTGCTGCTGCTGCTGATGCTGATGCTGATGCTGCTGCTGCTGGTGATGATGTTGTTGATGATGATGATGGTGATGGTGATGGTGATGGTGATGGTGGTGGTGATGATGATGATGATGATGATGATGATGATGATGATGATGCTGCTGATGATGATGATGATGATGATGATGATGATTATGAGCAGCAGTGGGAGGATGACGAGGATAAAAACGAACAGGAAGATGAGGCGGAGGATGAGAATTAACATGATGACTGTGATGAGGATAGGTGTTCGACGGGCGAAGTGACTGGGAAACGTCAGGGTACTCATCGCCGTTTGGCTAAGTATGGATACGGTATCTTTCAGGCAACGTGTTTGAACTACTGCACTTATCCAGCCCCTCTTACAAGCAAACAATCACGGTTCCTTGCGGTCCCTGAGTGCAGAAAACGTTTGTTGTTTTTGAACGGTGGCGGAGCGAGGTCAACATGGTGGCATTTAGATTTCATTGTTTGAGAGGTATATATGCCTCAAGCTATACGCATATGTATTTTTCCAATCTGACTGGTTGCTGGTCCGTAAACAGTGTGCTGCCGCTGTGGCGTTGGCCACATCTCAAGATCGGTGCTTCCTCGTTGTCACCGTCTCCTCTCTTTTCCTTCCCTCCTCCGCCTTCCTATGGTCCTCCTGCTCGTCCTACTCCTGCTTCTGCTCCTGCTGCTGCTGCTCCCCCCCGTGCTCATCCACCTCTTTCTCGTCCAGCTCCCTTTCAGATTGCGCAGCAACTGAGGGGTCAAATTTTCCAGCTGCCCACCTGCCCTTTCGGCATCGAGGTCCCCATGAGACACCTGCAGCGGCAGATCAGCAACACCCTTTCGGCAGACGACCCTGCACAACCTTACACAGCTACGATTGGGGCCACAGTGGTGGGTCACGATGGGGGTGATCGGGATCGGGATAGTGAATACGGACAGGGGTATAGGACCAGAGATATAGGGATACTGGCAGAGGGATAGAGATAGAGATCGGACTGGGAACAGAGATAATGATAGGTCTATCGGATGGGAGTATGCATGAGCGGAAAAGGGACAGGGGTAGGCGAAGAGGAATAGGAACATGGAACCGGATAGACCTCTGGAGGCAACCGGAGACAATGTGAGACAGCGGGAGACCCTGGGGAAAAACGGGAGGCAATGGGCATATGGAGGATAGTGATAGCGATAAGGATAGGGATGTGGATAGGGGTAGGGATAGACAATCTGAGACAATGCGAGACAATGTGAGACAACGGTAGACAAGGTGAGACAATGCGAGGCATCGTCGCCTAACCAGTGTTAGATTCGGCAACGCATTCACTCGTCTCTTAGACAACGTATGTAGAAACCTTCTTGTTCAGGGGGAAAGTTTCACGCAATTGGACGGGCCGGATTGGAAGGGACTGATGTCAGATGGCGGCGCGAGCAACCTTAGCTTGCCTTCCTTCCCTGTTTCTTGTCCGTTCCCCTCCCTCCCATTCCCCTCCAAGTCGTCGTCGTCGTCGTCGTCGTCGTCGTCGTCGTCGTCGTCTTCGTCGTCGTCTTCGTCGTCGTCGTCGTCGGCGGCGGCGGCGGCGTCAGCATCGGCGTCGGCGTCGGCGTCGGCGTTGGCGTCGGCGTCGGCGTCGGCGTCGGCGTCGACGTTGTTCTCGGGTCGTCGTCCTCAGGTCGTCGTCGTCGTCGTCGCTTACGTGCTGCGTGCTGATCTGCTCAGAACTCCGTATCCCCATCTACGCTGGGAGTCAACCGCCCCCGTCCCCCTTGTTTGGGAAAGGGATGGGCGGCCAAGAGGGGGGTGACGACTAGGGGGGCTGGATATGATTGCTGGTGCCACGATGTCTTCCCCGATTTGCAGGCCTTTCAGCACGTCCCCTGCCCCCCCCCCCCCCCCCTCGGGCCGCGCACATGCCTCGGGCCATGATCTGCCATCCCTCCCTGGCACGCCCCCCCCGTCGACACCTCCGAAGAGGATAGGCGTGTGAGGCCAAAAATGTGTGTTTCCCGTATCTTCAGCGGCCCTCGCTCCTCTTCCCCCTTTCTTCGGCCGCCTCTACTGTCCTGTCCCATGATCCTTGCATTGAGGCAAAATTCGCTACAACGGTGCCCCCGTTTTGTTAGCTCCTCCGCCAGCGCAGTGACTATGCCTGGCCGCCGGCGCAAACATATGCCCCGTATCTTTCTTCACGTGCGGATCCGTTATTTAAGCTGTTTATCCTTTTGCTTTTGTTCCGTAGCGATCTCGGGTAATGATTCGTCGTCGTGCGAGCGTTCCAAATGAATCATTGTTCGGGCATAAGGGGTTAGTTTATGACATCTTTGGCATTGATTCCCTTCGCGGCCGTTTGCAAAAGGATTACATTTGCGAAGTGCTACAGGATTCCTTGGTGGCAGATTGCAGACAGGTTTCCTTCTGTGACGGGTTGCAAAAAGGGCTTCCTTCTTGTGGATTCGCGGATTACAGCGTGGTCCCTTTTGTAGGCTTCTTTGGTTGTTAGCGAGGGGACACGAGTTAACATGGATAGCATCATTGGAAGACCAGAATATGGTAGAATTGCAAGCAATACCTTGCACTGCATCACTTTCTTACATTCGAAAACCAACGCCAACAAAACACCACAGCAGGTTCTAAAGTTTTGAACCCCAAGCCATATGATCACATACTATATTTTGATGGCGGGGTATGGGCAAATTGTGTTTTGGTATGGGTGCGGTCTCCACATTGAAAGCCTTTTTTGTTTGTTTTTTCAGGAACCTGTTCGAACCTTTTTTTACAATCCGTCGCAAATGCGTCTTGGTGTAAGCAACCGCAAACAAATACTTGCATATTCAGCCGCGCACGGAATCCTGTTTTTAATCGGCCACTAGACGGCGCCAACTTGTGATCTGCCACAACAACCGATGTACAATCGGCCCCAAACGTGCCTGATTTTTTTTGTTATCGGCCACAGAAGGAATCAACTCGTAACCAGACACCAGCAGGAATCAATTCGAAATCCGCGACTAAACGAATCCATGTGTCATCGGTTACATTTTTTGGGGTAATTTGGGTTCAGAAGAATGGCGGCGTACAGCTTCCGCAATAAGTTTTTTTTATGGTTGTTGTTTTTTTTTGTAACGTCGCTTCAACAGGGTTATTTTTGTAAGGCAGGAGTTCGTTAGTGATACCATCACCAACATGTATTCATGTGTCAAGCCGCCACGCACGCAATCTTTTCGTAAAGCCACTACGTAACGAATTTATTAGGTAAGGGCACCACGCAAAGTTTTTTGTTTGTAACGTCGCAACGAAAAAACTCAGCGTACATAATCAACGTGCGTCCGCCACAGAAAGAGGGCAATCCTCAAGCAATGCGCCACGGACTGAAACGACCTGCAAGGCCACCGCAGAGGACATCCATGTGTGACTAGCCAAAACATTGAATCAACATGTAATCCACGAGGGGTAAATCACGAAGGACGAATCATTAAGGAGGTCATTGAGACGTTATTGTGGGTTTCTGGATCCGTGGGAAGCGGAGTCGGAAAGTCATGTAAGAGGAGGGAGGGGGGTGGAACCTGGAGAAACGATGGGGGAGGAAGAGGTGAATGGATGAAGGTCTGCACGAACGAAATGGGCTCGGAAAGACTGGGTACAATGCCCAACAGCGGATCTGGTTCATTTTGAACAAGACTCGCTGTCCACGCCGCCGCGGCCTGTGTCCATTCGAGACAGGAGGCCACCTGCCCAACAGCGGCCGCTGTTGGTTTGGGACAACATTTGTTGCTGGGGATTGTACCCATTCTTTCCGTACCCATTTCGGGCGTCCAAAGAAGGGGCCGCGACAAACAAATGTTTTGTGAGGCCGCCATACGAAAGCATCGGTTTCATAGACCGCCGGGAACTGTACCAAATTGTAACATGCCGCCTAAAGGATCAATGTGCAAGGCCGCCGCAGTAGGAATCCATGTGTGGGGTCGCCACAAGCAGAATGAATGTGTAACATGCCACGAGGTGATGCCGTCGCACATAGATATGTGTTGGTACACCACCGCGGAAAAAACCTGTATTTTTTGAGGCTGTCACGCAATGAAGCGAATTGCAACGCATTTTTTGTTTTTCATTTTAAGTTTTTTGCACAGCCGTCAGACAAGGAATCCTTGACAACGCCGCCGCAACAACAGAAGAGCAGATGTTGCAACCCGCCACACAAGGAACTACTATGTAACGCCAGTCTTTTATATACTCTGCCAGATGGCCTCCTCGAAAGGAAATTATAGTTGAGGCCGTCGCAGAAGGACATCTACTTGTAGGCCGCCATGCAATGAATAATTTTGCGACCCGCCACCAAGGTCATCAAACTGCAATCGGCCCCACAGCGACGCCATTGAATCTGATCTGTCGGCGGGCGACCACATAAAGGAATCCATTTGCGAGGCCGCCACAAAACAAACTCGATGTGCAGGCCACCACACAAGGGATCTATGGCGGGCCGCCAGTACAATAATCCATCTGTAAGGCCGCCACAAGGGAGTTCGATTTGAACGCCCCACAAAAACAATCCCAGTATAACCCGCCACGGAATGAATCTTATGTGTTTTCCAGAAGGTTTTTTTGTTTTGAATAACAATGCTGTGTATACACATGCATATAAAAAGTGCGCCACTGCAGGACCCTGTAATTGAAAAGGGGGGGAATGTTCGGACCCCTCCCCCCCCTGCTCCGATTTTCGACCCCCTCCGCCCCCTTTCCTCTCCGAAAGGGGGGGGGGTCCGAACCACTGCCCCCCCACCTCCCTTGAAGGGGAGGGGGGGGGGTCCAGACTCCCTCGCCCCCCTTGGCGCTGGAAAGCGGGGGGGTTCGAACCCCCCCACTGTCCCCCTTGGCGCCGGACAGAGAGCCAGGGATGGGGGCCTCTCTCGCTGCTCCTGTCTGCTCCGGAGAGGGTGGGTGCGGAGTAAGGAGTAGGGAATAGCGGGTAGTGAGTAGTGAGTAGTGATTAAAGAGTAGCGACTAGTAAGTAGTTAGTAGTGAGCAGTGAGTAGTGAGTAGTGAGTAGTGAGTAGTGAGCAGTGAGTAGTGAATAGTGAGTAGTGAGTGCAGAGTAGAGGGTAGTGGGTAGTGAGTGGTAGTGAGTAGTACGTACTGAGTAGCGAGAAGTGAGTAGTGAGCAGTGGGTAGTAGGCAGCGAGTAGTGAGTAGAGAGTAGTGGGTATTGTGGAGGGAGTAGGGAGTAGGGAGTAGTGAGTAGCGAGTAGTTGGTATGAGTAGTCGGTGGTGCTTAGTGAGTAGTGACTAGTGGGTAGTTGGTAGTGGATAGTGCGTAGTGAGTAGTGAGTAGACAGTAGTGAGTAGTGAGTAGTGAGTGGTGATTGGAGAATAGTGAGTAGGGAGTACTGTGTAGTGAGTAGTGAGCAGTGAGTAGTGAGTAGTGAGTAGTGAGTAGTGCGTGGTGAGTATTGAGTAATGGGCAGTGGGTAGTGGGTAGAGGGAAGTGAGTAGCGACCAGGGAGTAGCGAGTAGAGAGTAGTGAGAAACATGTAGTCGGGAGTGAGTAGTGAGTAGTTTGGGGTAGGCTGTATTGAATAGTGGGTAGTGAGTAGTGAGTAGCGAGTAGGGAGTAGCGAGTAGTAAGTAGTGAGTAATGGGCATTGAATAGTGCGTAGTGAGTAATGAGCGGTGGTTATAGAGTAATGAGGAGTGAGTAGAGAGTAGTGAGCAGGAAGCAGTGAGTAGTGCTTAGTGGGTAGTCGGTAGTGAGTAGTGAGTATCGAGTTAGGGTGAGGAGTAGGGTTAGGGGTGGTAGGGGGCGGGGCGGGTTCTGGAGTCAGGGGGCGGCGTGGCCATTGGGGGGGAGGGGAGTGGGGGGGCGCTCGAATTTCAAGCCCAAAGAGGGGGGTGGTCCCCGACGACGGACCGGGAGGGGGGGGGTTCCCGACGACGGACCG